TACCTGTGTAGTAGGGAAGGAGCGGCCCAGCTAGAAAGCCTGGTAGCAGCTCCCGACCCACCAGTAACACAGGAAGGACTAAGTAAGTAAACCTGCACCCCCTGTGCCAGATAGGGGAAGGAGGCACTCTAGTGGGAAACTGGTTTAGACTGCCACCCAGGACTGTTTCACCATTCTACGTAGCAGACACTGGATCCCCTGTCCAGGGATTCCTCCAAGCAGCCAGAAAGAGGTACACCTTGGGTCTAAGGGGGTAGTACTGCAAGAATCACTGGATACCTCTCCAAAAAAGACTGTTTTCTGTAACCACTTGTACAAAGTTCAGGAAGTTGTCCTCAGTTTCTCAGTTCCCTTGGGCATCCCGTACACCCCCTACCCCATCCAAGTTTTAAATACCCTAATAAAACTTCAAAACAAGCTCAAGGACTGGTCACTGACTCCTGAATGCAAGTGTACGTGAAAATGTGTGTTACCTGGCTGTGCAGGACTTTAGGGGGACCCAAAACTATTGCAACTCTTAGCAGGGTAGTGCTACATGTGTGTATGTAAATATGTATGTGAGATTGGAACCTTAGAAGGTAAATTCCTTGGTGGCAGGTACTGATATGAATGCACACAATAATCAATGGGACAGACCATAATCAATGTGACAGATCATCAATGAAGAAAAAGTTAATAATGAGGATTAAGGCGCATGTACTCACTTATAAAAATAATATATACCCTTTATTATGAAAATTCATATTTAAAGATACAAATTATACAAAACACCTTCAACCTCCACTTTATATTACAACTTTGTCATTTTTAATATATGGTGAATATTTCTGGTGTTTAGCGTAAATTTTTAACTTTAAATATGAATTTTCATAATAAAGTGTATATATTTGTGAGTACATGCTCCTTAATGCTCATTATTAACCTTTTCTTTATTGATTGTCTGTCCCATTAATTACAGTGCACTACATATTAGGTTGGAGGATTGCCTCTTATTAGTTGAGTGAGTACAATGAAATTGAGATTTTACTTATAATTCCTTGAAAATGCTTACAGTTAAATTATTTATTTATGATTGAACTGATATAAATGTACATAAATACTTGTAATCAAGAAAATATATATATATATTAACCAGGGGCAGACTGACAACTCATGGGGCCCCTGGGCAATAGGGGATCATGGGGCCCCTGTGTCCTTGCCCAAACTCAAAAAAGCCTATGAAAATGGTACCAGGGACATCTCATGGGGCCCCCTACTGACCCCGGGCCCTCGGGCAGTGCCCGAGTTTCCAAATGGTCAGTACGCCCATGATATTAACGTTTATATAAAGTAATACTTTTTTAATTGGTAAAAATGGTTTAAACCCTTTATTTGCTTCCTATGTCCCATTGGGGGGGATTTCCCATCATTTCATGTCACTGAGATACAAAAGGAAGTTAGAAAAAAATCCTTCCAAAGTTTTGGGAAATCTGGAACTGACATTTCCATTTTACATTTTTTTCTTTGTTCCTGTTCTAGTGACAACTGTAAATTTTTGTATTTCCTGTTGCTTTCTATTTGCTTTCTATTACAGTGGGGCAAAAAAGTATTTAGTCAGCCACCAACTTTGCAAGTTCTCCCACTTAAAAAGATGAGAGAGGCCTGTAATTGGCATCATAGGTAGACCTCAACTATGAGAGACAAAATGAGAAAAAAAAATCCAGACAATCACATTGGCTGATTTGGAAAGAATTTATTTGCAAATTATGGTGGAAAATATGTATTTGGTCAATATCAAAAGTTCATCTCAATACTTTGTTATATATCCTTTGTTGGCAATGACAGAGGTCAAACGTTTCCTGTAAGTCTTCACAAGGTTGGCACACACTGTTGCTGGTATGTTGGCCAATTCCTCCATGCAGATCTCCTCTAGAGCAGTGATGTTTTGGGGCTGTCGCTGGGCAACACGGACTTTCAACTCCCTCCAAAGGTTTTCTATGGGGTTGAGATCTGGAGACTGGCTAGGCCACTCCAGGACCTTGAAATACTTCTTACAAAGCCACTCCTTCATTGCCCGGGCAGTATGTTTGGGATCATTGTCATGTTGGAAGACCCAGCCACGTTTCATCTTCAATGCCCTTGCTGATGGAAGGAGGTTTGCACTCAAAATCTCACGATACATGGCCCCATTCATTCTGTCCTGTACATGGATCAGTCATCCTGGTCCCTTTGCGGAGAAACAGCCCCAAAGCATGATGTTGCCACCCCCATGCTTCACAGTAGGTATGGTGTTCTTTGGATGCAACTCAGCATTCTCTCTCCTCTAAACACGACGAGTTGTGTTTCTACCAAACAGTTCTATTTTGGTTTCATCTGACCATATGACATTCTCCCAATCCTCTTCTAGATCATCCAAATGCTCTCTAGCAAACTTCAGACGGGCCCAGACATGTACTGGCTTAAACAGGGGGACACGTCTGGCACTGCAGGATGTGAGTCCCTGGCGGTGTAGTGTGTTACTGATGGTAGCTAGGTCCCCCCGTGTGGTCCTGGGATTTTTGCTCAACGTTCTTGTGATCATTTTGACCCCATGGGGTGAGATCTTGCGTGGAGCCCCAGATCGAGGGAGATTATCAGTGGTCTTGTATGTCTTCCATTTTCTAATTATTGCTCCTACAGTTGATTTGTTCACACCAAGCTGCTTGCCTATTGCAGATTCAGTCTTCCCAGCCTGGTGCAGGTCTACAATTTTGTTTCTGGTGTCCTTCGACAGCTCTTTGATCTTCACCATAGTGGAGTTTGGAGTGTGACTGTTTGAGGTTGTGGACAGTTGTCTTTTATACTGATAACAAGTTCAAACAGGTGCCATTGATACAGGTAATGAGTGCAGGACAGAGGAGCCTCTTAAAGAAGAAGGTACAGGTCTGAGAGCCAGAAATCTTGCTTGTTTGTAGGTGACCAAATACTTATTTTCCACCATAATTTGCAAATAAATTTTTTCCAAATCAGCCAATGTGATTGTCTGGATTTTTGTTTCTCATTTTGTCTTTCATAGTTGAGGTCTACCTATGATGCCAATTACAGGCCTCTCTCATCTTTTTAAGTGGGAGAATTTGAACAATTGGTGGCTGACTAAATACTTTTTTGCCCCACTGTATGTGTGGCAACAGACAAACAGAGTGGGGACAAATTCCTAAATTATTCAGAACATGGTTGGATATTTAAAAGTGTGCAACGATGCATTTTATGCACTCACCTGTATAAATCAAGCTGAAAAATTAGGAATCTTCATGTCTGATCAAAGTGTACCTTTGGAAGACGTGAAGAGAGAAGCAATGATGTCATCGGCTAGCAATCATAATGGTATCCTCGAAGGTGTGCTCTTGAGTAGAACTACGTTGTTCTGAAACTATTAATCAAATTTAAGGTTGAGAAAGTACTATTTGACTTTGATAAATCAATACCAACTCCAAGAAATGCAGAACTGTGTCCATTTAGCTGCCTCCAAACCATCCCGATCACATTGGTTTAAAGTAACATCTAAAACCTTCCATCAGGTCTATCAATAGCGTCAAGCAATTCCCAGGTGTAGGAACATCCCTCATTAAGACAGCCAATGCTGAGGGAGCACAATCTATACTCCTTGTCTCAGCTGTTAAAAAGCAATGTGCTATATGTGACATCAGCATCTACTCCACCAGAGCGTCCACCTTGGAGGACAATCCTGCTATTGAATATTCAATGAACCAAACAATAATTGCAATCTTTTGGGTATAATGTAGTCAGTGACAACTGACAGAAACAAGAGCGTATCATCAAAATGATTTTTCAACTTGTTACCAATTATAATCTTAAACATACGTGGCAATTTCCAAGGTGAAGATGAACAGAAAGAATGGCTACAAGCTTACAATAGCCTCTTAGGAACCTTGGAAAATAATTTACTATTGTGCTTTTATATATGATCATTTACATAAAGAATGTTCATTGTTCAACATTTATAAGAATTTTCTTGAAGATTGGCTCTTCTGCAGCCAGTATAAATCTATCATTTGTTACAGCTGAACTCCGGGTCAACATTTAAATACACAGCTCAAACACATACATATGAAATGTTTTACAATGACAGTGGATTTGAATTTGTGCGCCTCCAGTCCTAAGATTTACACAGCTCTGGCAGATAGCGAACCCAGGTGACCTGAATGTTTCACCACTGACGTTAAACTAGAACAATTCTTTTTTTTATTTTGGACAGAGTAAAGGAAGGTTATAACCCTTGTGTAGAGCCCTTTTGTATAGGCTGTTATATTTAGTATGTAGCCATATGAGCCAGAATTGTTTTGTTTGGTCTCTCTGAGACTCCAGAAATTGGAAGTTTGATTACCTCACCCAGGACTCTAGGAGAAGCTTCTGGAGATTAGGGTGGGAGGCTTCAAATACCTGTCCTGAATATTCAGTAAGTCCTATCCACTCCCTGGGGAGGTGTACCCAAATGGTGGATGGGCTCCTGTTAATTAGGCTGGAATCCATAAGAGAAGGTCCTTCTCCTGTATGGGAATGGATCTGTGTGCTCCAGGGGCCACTTGCCCTGGGGCACTCCTGGGCTGGATGCTGGACTTTTCCTTTGTGGCCATGCCTATGGACTGTATACTCTTTGGGACACTAAAGCTACCTATCTTGTGCTGAAGTTTCATGGTCTTCAGCCATGAAATATAGACTACCTCAGTCTTCTATGATACATTTTTGGTGCATGGTCCCCAGCTGTGCACATATAGACTGCCCTATCTGATTATCATTACCTTGGGAATCACTAGTGCTACTATCAAGATAGAAGTGTCCTCCGGTAGCACTCCGTTCCATTTGGGGTACCCTGCTTCACTCCTAGACTGTTTACTGAGCCAGAGTGGAGGAATGACAGTGAAGTGTCTGACTACTTTGCACTGATTAGAGAAAGAACCTGTGTACATCTACAGCGGCTCCTACAGAGAGGTACTGCTACACTTGCCATTTTTTGCCATCTGTGTCCCATTGGGGAGATTTTCCTTCATTTCCTCTTCCATAGCAAAAACAAAAAGTGAGAGGAAATCCCTTCAAAGTCAGGGAATCCCTGGTAGTCACCAGAACAAGGGTCCCCATTGGAAGATTGCTCCTCCACTTCTGTTCTGGTGATAACCCAAAATTTGGGATTTCCTTTCACTTTCAGTGCTACAGTAAACAGGACAAATAGAGAGGGTGAATCTCCCTGCTGGGGAAACAGACTACAATAAAAACCTGACAGGTGTTCTAATCCATCTCCACTCTATCCAATACTAAAAAAAAGTTTTGCCTTTAGCTGTACTTTAAGTGACACAGACTAATCACGTCCCAACCCTTAGCCTATGACTGGAGAATGAAGAAGGAACAGCAGACTGATATGTTAATTTTTTTGTTCTATCAATCATCTATCTATCTAGAACACACCCATATATTGCTCATTTATTTGCACCTATAATGCACAAGTGCACTGCAACACACCTGATTGGCTCCTAGTACTGCTCCTCCTTCTCTCAGTCTGAGCGTTGCTGTACAAAGGATTAAAAGAAGCTGATGCCAGTAAAATTGTTATATTTAAATATACATTATTTGTTTCTTTAAAGAAACCATGCTTGCATTAATAAGTGTATTTTCACCTGCTTGGAGTTCATCTTTAATCCAGAATCCAAGGTCTTTCATATACAGCAACATTTTAAAATAATTCCAGAAAATCCAAATGAATCAGTATCAATAATGTTTTGGGAGGGCACTGAAAATTAAAAAAAAATTATTTCATATTTATTAGAAAAAAAATATCCTCCTGCGCCAAAAAGCTAAAATATATGAACTCAATACATGGTAGCTGTGCCAGCAGTATACAGGTGAAACTCGAAAAATTAGAATATCGCGCAGAAGTTCATTTATTTCAGTAATGCAACTTAAAAGGTGAAACTAATATATGAGATAGACTCATTACATGCAAAGTAAGATAGTTCAAGCCGTGATTTGTCATAATTGTGATGATTATGGCTTACAGCTCATGAAAACCCCAAATCCACAATCTCAGAAAATTAGAATATTACATGCAATCAATAAAACAAGGATTGTACATAGAACAATATCGGACCTCTGAAAAGTATAAGCATGCATATGTACTCAGTACTTGGTTTGGGCCCCTTTTGCAGCAAATACTGCCTCAATGCGGCGTGGCATGGAAGCTGTCAGCCTGTGGCACTGCTGAGGTGTTATGGAAGACCAGGATGCTTCAATAGCGGCCTTCAGCTCTTCTGCATTGTTCCGTCTCATGTCTCTCATCTTTCTCTTGGCAATGCCCCATAGATTCTCTATGGGGTTCAGGTCAGGTGAGTTTGTTGGCCAATCAAGCACAGTAATCCCACGGTCATTGAACCAGGTTTTGGTGCTTTTGGCAGTGTGGGCAGGTGCCAAGTCCTGCTGGAAAATAAAGTCAGCGTCCCACAAAGGTCGTCTGTGGAAGGAAGCATGAAGTGCTCCAAAATCTCCTGGTAGACGGCTGCATTGACCCTGGACTTAATGAAGCACAGTGGACCAACACCAGCAGATGACATGGCTCCCCAAATCAACACAGACTGTGGAAACTTCACACTAGACTTCAAGCATCTTGCAGTGTGTGCCTCTCCATTCTTCCTCCATACTCTGGGTCCTTGGTTTCCAAATGAGATGCAAAAGTTGCTCTCATCAGAAAAGAGGACTTTGGACCACTGAGCAACAGACCAGGTCTGTTTTTCTTTAGCCCAGGTAAGACGCTTCTGATGTTGTTTGTTGTTCAGGAGCAGCTTGACAAGAGGAATACGGCATTTGAAGCCCATGTCCAGGATCCGTCTGTGTGTGGTGGCTCTTGATGCACTGACTCCAGCCTCAGTCCACTCCTTGTGAAAGTCCCCAACACTTTTGAATGGCCTTTTCTTAATCCTCTCCAGGCTGCGGTCATCCCTGCTGCTTGTGCACCTTTTTCTTCCACATAACGTTCTATTAATTTGCTTTGATACAGCAACATCCAACTTCTTTTGCAATTACCTTGTGAGGCTTTCCCTCCTTATGGAGGGTGTCAATGATGGTTTTCTGCACAACTGTCGGGTCAGCAGTCTTTCCCATGATTGTGATTCCTACTGAACCAGACTGAGAGACCATTTAAAGGCTCAGGAACCCTTTGCAGGTGTTATGGCTTAATTAGCTGATTAGAGTGGGACACTTTGAGCCGAGAATATTGCACCTTTTCACAATATTCTAATTTTCTGAGATTGTGGATTTGGAGTTTTCATGAGCTGTAAGCCATAATCATCACAATTATGACAAATCACGGCTGAACTATCATGCTTTGCATGTAATGAGTCTATCTCATATATTAGTTTCATCTTTTAAGTTGCATTACTGAAATAAATTAACTTTTGCACGATATTCTAATTTTTTGAGTTTCACCTGTATATGCTATTCTAACACGAATCAATCAACCAAACAAACAAAAATTAAAGTGGTTGTAAAGGCTCAAGGTAAAAAACCTTCTGTGTGCAGCAGTGCGGGGCTAGTCACTAGTGTTGAAAACATAATATATACTCAATAAACCAATAAACAAATAATCGCCTTAGTAGAAAACATACATTAGTGCCATTACACTGCAAAAATAAATCAAAATAATAAAAGTCCTCCTCTTCAAAATTATATGATACTGTCCCTTTATACAATGTGGCAATGTGCTCCTCAGTGCTCAGTCTTGATATGCTCTTTCACTTGAATGCTGCATGGAAAATATTGGTACACACCACCACTCCATGTTCCTTTCCCAATCTATAAGGCTACTTTCACACTGAGGAGTTTTTGAAGCGCTTTTGCGTTAAAAAAAGTGCCTGAAAAGCTCAAGAAAAATTCTTCCCTATGTATGTCTATGTATGTCTATATTTGTTTTCACACTGGGGCATTGCACTTTCATTACGGTGTAAAAACAACTGCTTGCAGTTGAACCTTGAACCTTGAACACGTTGCTCCTCCCATGAACTTCCTATGTAAGCCATGCCTTTGCACTTCCTGTTTGCCAGATTATTGTGCTCTCTCCAGCCAATATTATGCTCTTGTCACTCCTGCTGTCATCCGTATCTTCACTACCACTTGTTACCGACCTTTGGCTTGTTTCTCGACTAATCTCCTACTTGATCCCAACCAGCAACCACTTATTACTGACCTTTGGCTTGTATACTAACCACTTGAAAACCACAATACTTATATAAAAATTGTGGTTTTCAAGTGGTTTACAAAGGGTATGGCTGAAGAAATCAGCCATAACCCTGATACCATTTTTTCAGTGAACAGCCAGCTTTCCCATTGCTCACTGGTGTTTCTCATGTTTACTATCAACGCCGACCAGCTTGAGAAATGGTCTGATGGTGCGGCCTCCCCAAAATGGCGGCAATGGTCTTTGACTCTATGGTCTTTGATCGCCTCTATCATGATGGAGAACCGGAGTGACGTCATGACATCACTTCCGTTGATGGTGGAAGTAAACCATTTTTTTTCTCTTTTGAAGCAAAAGTTTTTTGATCTTTTGCTTTTAAAGGAAAAGAAGATATTTAGAGTTATAAAGTAAAAAAAATTAAAGGGATAGTGTAAAGAAATAAAAATAATTTTTTTTTAAAGCACTCCATTTACATATACGTAAATCGTGTACACATATGTAAACGGTGTTCACAGCACACATGTGAGGTATCGTCATGATCGTTAGAGTGAGAGCAATAATTCTAGTGCTAGACCTCCTCTGTAACTCTAAACAGTTAACCTGTAACATTTTTTAAAGTGTCGCCTATGGAGAATTTTAAGTTTGTGCACCATTTTAAAGTGTGAAATGTTAGGTATTTATTTTCTCGCTGTAACATCCTCTTTCATATTTTACAAAAAAAATGGGGTATATATTGTGTTTTTTTTTTTATTCACTAAAGTATATTTTTCCCCCAAAACATTGCATTTGAAAAACTGTTGCTCAAATACCATGTGACATAAACAAATTGCAGAAAATGCTTGGTCTTTGAATGGCTTAATATGGCTAAATATGCTTCTCTTTCATCACTGCCTTCTATATCTGCTACTGGACCCCAGCTTGATTACCTTCGGATGGGGTAATCTTGAGGACTGCAACCTGTTATGAACATCCATCAAAACCCATCTCCACCATCAGGAGCTCTGGTGAATATCAGTTAGTGCTTAGACCACGCACCTTGGGTGAGCCTGCCAGGAGTATCTGCTTATATACCTATCTTGCTGGTCAGTGGGACTCTCTACTGCTATAGCTACTGGTCCCCAAGCCTGACCATGACAGATACCTTGTTTTGATCCTGCACAAACAGATAGCTGTCTTCCTAGATAATCCCAAGGAATGCACTCTGCAGTGTAACATCCACACAGCCAGACGTCCCAAAGAGCATTCTGGAGAGGCTTTTGCCATTCATTAGTGACACAGAGGATTGATTTAATGTGTGAGATACATTTTCTTCTTTTTTTTTTTTTAAGGCTGAAAAATACAACTTAAAAACTTATGAAAAGATATGATGAAATATTGGATAAGAATATTTTTATTTCTGGCCAGTAGATGGAGCTTTCAGCTACTTTCAACATGTTTTCTTGAATCTCCTTACCTCCTGCTTAAAATACAAATCCAAGTGTTTTACAATCCCATAAGGAATACATTAACTGAACACTATGCTTATTGAAAATTGTCTGCATATGGTGCCTTAATGAAATAATTGTTTCTGTGGTGCTTTTCTAATTATGATAATAATAACTAAGTGAGCTATAAGCTTGTTATGATTGAAACCATTTCATCTAAATTTCTAATTGTCAGTGCTGTAACTTGGTTTGTTATTTCAAGAAAAAATATGGGTCTGGTTTATCTTTTTATCCATCTTTCAAACAATGGCGTAAATCTGAATTTCTACAATGAAGAACGCAAAGATCTGTTGTTCATGTGTTCCTTTAATATCCACTGCCAAACTGCAGCAGTTGGAGGATGTAGAGAAGGAAGAAATGGATTGGTCATGCTATCACTAATCAATGAATTGTGTACCTAGAAACATGATCTCTCATTAACTGCCACTGTGTCTTAGAGTGTTTGCAAAGTCAAAACTTTTCACAGGGAAGGATAAAAACTCCTATCAGGTTATTGTTAGCTG